CAGCTCACTCCGCAAGCACATCAAGGCCCATGGTCATTATGTAGCCCAGGACCAGGGCTCCCCAGGTGGGGTGGGCTCCCTGCTGAGGGGGAGTCAAAGTGGAGTGCTTTCTGGCGAAGGGCGGAGGGATTCCGAGCTGTCTTTTGTGAGTGCAGCCCACATTATCATCCCAGGGGCAGCGGCTGCTTTCCTGGGAGGCCATGCTCTGCAGGGTCTGGGGGGGGGGCTAGCCATGTCCTCCCTCAGTTCTCGGCCCCTGGACCTCAGCGCACTGGGCTGCCCCGGCTCCTCTCCAGGCACCTCCATTCTGTTCAACGGCTCCCATCTGGGCCTCAGCAAATCTCATCTGCTCTCCACAGCGTTCTCCTCTTCGTCCCTGGGCTTGTCTATGATGCCAATGCTGGGGGCCTCGTCTGAGCGAAGGGCCCTGAGCCAACAGGCCAAGAGGGGACGGGGGGCGGAGGCTGAGAACGAGATGACTGGTGGGGTCCTCAACCTCTCCACGGGATCCCATGATCCTCTGTCCTGGGTGGTCATCCCCCCAGGCACCGTGGTGCTGAAGCCAGCTGTGGTCAACTGATACACACGCACATTCCAGAAGAGCTCAGGGGGGTGGGATGGGAGGGTGAACGCCACAGTGAGGGTACAGGCGGTCAAAGGTGACAGAGGTTGGCTTGCACAATCATATCCAATGCATTTCAGTGAGGTTGGAAGAGGAGAAAGCTATAGAGATACTCATCACATCCTCAATCAGCAGAACATAACACTGCACCTCATAAATAAGTATACAACGCAAGCCTCTTGTTTTGATGGGAAAATAAACTCGGGGCCCAAGAACCGTATGGCTCTGTATTTCTATCACAAGGCCTGACAATGGGCTCCTCTTTGCCCTCTTATTTTTTATTTTATACTTTCTGCATTCCTATTTCCTGAACGTGACAGTCTTAGTGCTCTGTGTTCTTAAAAAGGTCCTGATTCATTCATATGTATTTATATGGCTGTACTTGATCGACAGTGTGCCTCCAGTCTAGCAGTGAGATGGATACACCATAAAACTGAATGACGCACTCACAGTTAGACAAACGTGCACTTAGGACGATTCTTCACAGTTGATTTTTAAGTATTGACCTATTTTTCACAGGCTTGCTGTGATTAATATGATTGAGACAGGCTTGCCAAACCAAAGCAAGTGAACTCAAACAGTCTTGGATTTGCAGTTTCAGCTCAATTAAAGACAGCACTTAATAGTGTCACCTGGTAATAGTATTGAAACCTCAAATCTGCTGCTAAGCTTTCAGCTCCTCCAGTGTAACATATACTGGGAGAGAGCACTAATGACAATCTATCCCCAGTTTGGGGAGGGTGACCAACATGGACCAGCCTAGTCCAGGTGTACCGACTAGGGGCTTCTACGACATAGAGCCACAGAGGACTCAACACAGAGAAATGGTGTTGCATCACCTGACAATGACCAAGTGAAATTCAAGGCACTGCTGTGTCTGGCTCCTCCTTCTGGTAGGACACGATACACAACATCCCGCTTTCCATTTACAGAGCTATTCCTGTTTTTACTTCTGGATTGTCCAGCTGCTTTCCCGTAATTGAATCAACACGGCCAGATTGTGTATGAAAGGGCCAGTGTGGTGATAAACACTAGTGTCTTGTTTTGCTTAAAAGTGACTCGACCTAAAACCAGCTGTGAAAAACAGGTGGTTGCCAATTTAAAAGCCCAACTTGTTGGTTGACGTTTTGTCAGAAGTTCAACAAGTCCGATGCCGTGCCAAAAATACCTGGAGAGGGGGAAAGGGATTTTACGTATTGTGCCAGGGAAGGGGGTGTGATGCACTCAATGCCACATGCAGCTTGACTGACTAGGAAGCCACACTATTGTATTGCAAACTGCCTCATATACTCTGCCCAAAGCGGCATAAAAAGAAGACTAATTAGATGTTTGGGAAAAACTTTTCTCACAGTTCGATTAAGCAGTCAACACGCACTTACCACACACAATATTCCTTACCTGTTTATGAAATGTTACTGCCAATTCATTGTTCTTTAAAAGCTAGTTTGCTCTTTTTCAATTTGTCTGCAAGGGTCAATTCTGCTGTGGAGTCTTTCCAGGCTTTTGATCCTCAGTGTTTATGCATGTAGGATGTGGAATCCACAGGGTGGAGGTAGGGGAGCAGGAGAGGATCATCACAACACAAGGAACATTCCCTCAAGAGACTGTCACACCCTCCTCTCTCCTTCCCCGTCTCCATCACTGCTTATGTTGGTGGTTTTACTTTTCGATCGCCCATTCCTACAAGTAATTGCCGTTTTACATTGTTGTCATTCTACACTTTTTGTTTGGTTATGTTCCGACGAGACATTTTTTTCTGATGTTGAACTTGCTTCTTGTGTTGTGTGACAGCTGCTCTGCGCTCAGCTTTCTGCTGCCAAGTGTTTTTGAAGGGTGGAGGAGAGGACATGAGGAGAGGTTAGGGATTTCTTCTAGAGCAGTGGTTACCAATCCGGAGGGATTTAGGATCAATCTGGATCAGATGATGACCACATTGATATAAGGAAGAGGTCATCTTTGCTTTTTAACTATGCTAGCAATGTTGCTCTTTGGAGGGACAATCCAACTCTACGGCCCAGAACGAAAAATCTCAACAAGTATTGGATGGATTGCCATGCAGTTCTGGACAGTATTCCTTGCACATTGTCATTGTTAGCGTGTTACATTGGCGATTATAGTATTAATGGCTCGAGGCATACGGCTGCACAGAGCTATCTGCTGGCATGGCTTTAGTACTTTTAGTAACTGTTCGTCTTGTTTCCTGTGAAATACTAATCATGGCTAGCTATTCAGGGAAGATGACACAAAATGTGAAATAGAGAAAATAACTCACAACCATATATATCCAAACTGAGGCCATTATTAGGAGTCATTTAAGGAACCACAAGCCAAAAAGGTTGGAAACCACTGCTCTAGGGGTAAAATATAAAAAATATATATCTAGTAGACCAAATAATATCACATTCCTCCATGACAATCACATTAAAGTACAGGGGATTACTTAGATAGGGTGTAGGGACCAATTATATGTCTGTATGAAGTGTCCTAACAACATTATCTGCTGGGCTGAATTAGATAACCATGCTTCCTTTGTTCTGACTTTTAATTTTCCACTGTTAGATAAAAGGAAACCATAGAGAATTAACATCCAACTGCGAAATGGCGGGCAGTGCTGGGAAAGCGTGAGAGCAAAGAGAGACAGGATTGGCTGAATGAATGGACAAGGGAAAGCGAGAGATGAGGGAAGGGACTGAGTGCCAGCGGAGGAAAAGAGGCAGAGGATACTTTGCTGTGCAGCCGCCCTCCATCTGGCCACCTAGCAAGCAAACGGCCCTCTCAGCTCTGAAGTCACTGGCTGTGCTGTGCCCAATGTGGCAGAGACTCACAGGCATACCAGCCCGTAGAAAACTAGGCCACTGAACTCTTTCTGCCCTCTGGATTTTTTCTTTTCTTATAGATTAAAACCCAAACGCTCAACTCCCCCACCTCCCGGCCACAAAGCATTTTAGCAGAGATGAGGAAAACAGGCAGACTAACAAGCTGCATTCACAGTAAACAAAAACAAATATAACCCCTCGCTATCTGAGGACAAGCTCAGTGTTGACCCTCCCAAAGGCCTGCGCGGATTCACAAACATACCTATGTTTCTGCCTCAGTAATTCTTAGTCATCTTTATCACAGACAGCCCCTCCACTCTATCTCTATTTCTCACACACACACACACACTCTCTGGCTTCAGGCTGGGCACTGAAGTGAATCTCTCGTTGCGAGTGGACAATCCTGGCATGTGATGTCATCAGAAACAGGTGTTAAGTAGGCTAGACATGGTTTCCGTGGCAACAGTGAAACCCACAGATGCGGCGGCTCTCCTCCTCCCTGTCTGTCTCTCCTCTGCAGGTCGAAGCCGGGGACAGAGAGAAAGAGGCGGCAGAAAGCTGAATAATTTGACACGGATCCTTTCAGGGTCCACATTTTTTTCAATATCAAATAAGCTGTATGATCCATTAACCCTTTGAGCTCAGTCTGTATGAACTGCACTTTTGTTCCCCTCATTTGTAAAGACGGGGATGTTGTCACATCCTTTCTCAGTGTACAGCGTAATTCATTATTCTTTTGGAAACCAAGAATAATTGTAAAAATCATCCACAGTTGTCACTATGTCTGAATTTGATGTATTTTTTTGTTCATGGTATAAAAGTGGTACTCACCCCTGGAGATGTTAAAGTAACCCTCACTTACTGCTATCAAGAGTGGAAGGGAAATCCAGGGCACACAATTTGCGTTAGCTAGCTGATTCAGTGTCATTGTAAAGGGGTGCCATTGACTGAAGTGCCACAGAGTTGCACAAAGGGTTAATGATAAGACTAAGGCCACGCAAGGCCTGTTCCAAGTTATGTTTTTTGCACATTTGTGAGATATGTCAGTATTTTAATTTTTCCAAGTGCCTTTTTATTATAGGTAAGATATAGAAGTTATACACTATATGAAAAATGATTATATGAAAATATATATTTTCCTGGCATCATGTTCTGTGGTTGAACATGAAGAATTTTAGAGTTGTAAAAGTCTCCAATTGGTACAACATAGCGGTGTTCTCCTGTTTTAGAGGAATTTTATTACGATATTGATAATAATGTCAATGAAAAGAAAATGTTTAATAAAGTTGTATTTGATACAAGTTGTGTATTCATTTCTGTTCCAAATATACAAAAACATTACGCATCATGACATAAAAATAGTTCAGGTAAATATGATTCTGTCCTTTTGAGACCGACATGTGCAAACTTGATTCTGCAATCACACATACAAATAACTGATTAAAAGTCAACAAGCTGCAGTTTTAATCAACGTATTTACCGTGTAAGATCCACACTAGATTCAACTGTGACATAAATAAATGTGTTCTATTGTTCCATTGCTCCAAAAAAATGGGACAAAGTCAAGACTACAGAAAAAGAGGAAGGCTTTTATTTGGTTATAATTTACAGAGGATGGGGAAGGGAAAGAAAGGTTAAGCATAATTTGACTCTTCATGTTTCCGTATTCTACTGTGATTTCTGATTCGGTTGTTGTGTCTGAATACTAACTTCCTCGTCTAGACGCTCTTTAGCCCGCACCACCTGCACAAAAAAGTCAAAGAGAAGACAATTAGACAGGAAGAAAGGCGATCATTGCATTTAAAGGTCTCCTATTATGCTATTTTTAGGCATATATTATGGGTCTCAGATATATACAAATATATTAAAAACATGTCTATGATGTGTTTTTCTCAAAATACCAAACAGACCATGCATTTTAGACATCCCTCATATCCCTCTATTTCAGGCCTGTTAGAGAACTGCAGGTTTCGGGGTCCTTAGCTTGAAAAAAAAAAAAGTGGAGGGGGAGCTTGTGCCTGCTCAGAATTCTACGAGATACTCAGCTAAATGCAGCTGTTATTAAACGCCATATCATGTTCCAAACCACATCAAGGATTACTTCTGAAACAGTATAGAGCTCAAAATCTTTTCTCTTGCAGGTTTATCACAAGGTGAGTTCCATTTTTTATTTCCTGCTTTTTTTACACATGCTCTCTCCAGTACAGGTTAGCTCTGAGTGTTAGCGATGATTGCTCATGTAAAAAAAGACCATATTACGTCCAAAACACATCAGGTATTGTTTCTGATAGCAACGTTTCTGATAGGGCCGTGGGTGCAAAGCCAGCCCACATTTCCGATATTACGTCATATCGGACGCAAATCTGGATCAGCTCCATTGAACCCCCGTTTTTAGAGCTTTTGGGTACGGAGGAAAAGAGAGAGGGTTTTGTTTCCTGACACTTTGTCAGTTCCTGACATACCAAAGACAGATATTTATGTATTAAAGACAAAAAAGTCCATGTTGCATGATAGGTCCCCTTTAAAGAACTTCAAAACAGTTTTCATCTATCTTCGTATAATCTTTTACTGCCACACTAAGATGACTAAAGCCATGTTATTAAGAAATATGAACACAAGAGCTTTAGAGGGTGTCAGTAAATCCTAAAAGTAGCGTACGAAACTGTCACAGAGAATGCCAATATTCAACTTCTTATCATGGTTAGGCCACCTGGACTGCAGGTTTAAAGGGAAACATGTTAGTTTGCTAAACTAAAGTGTGCAATTTGTTTTTTATGTCATTGTGCTTGTTTTATATTTTGGCGTCCACACACATTTGAGAACATTTGTGTAGCATGCTGAGATGGAGAATACTTACTTTTGATTGTAGATAAAATGAACCGCCCACTGTCTTGTCGTTGGCTTTAAAAAGGTGATCATAATTCTGGAAGAAATACATATTTTTGTTAAAAAAAGAGTGCAAAAACATTAATCGACACATTTGTTCAGATCATTGTTACAGCAGAAGGTATATAAACATGATGATAATAGCCATATAACTAACTCAATAAACCATGTTTAACAGAGTTTCTTATGAAAAAGTGGCAATCTTTAAGATTTCAGTCCTGGTTGGTTTGGTGACCCCCTATTTAAAATGGTGGCAAATGGAAATATGGCCTTGATACTATAGGCCTAGAAGGCTCTGGCCAACAAAACCATTCATTGTTGTTTAAATAAAGAAGTCTGGCAATATACTCTTTCAATCACCCCTTGTGAAGATGCTGCAGACAGCATGAGTCTGCCAAAGTTAAAGTATTTGGTTACCTGTCTGAGGAGGTGTGCTCTTCATCTAACAGCACACTATTGCTGCTTTCTCTCCTTCCATTACTCCCTGCAGTATTTCAAACTGATCCGCTGTCAAAAATGCCGAAAACAACCGCGACGCATTTTTGAGTCAGTGTCAAGCCAGCGGACAAACACATTGCATTGCCTTGGGATACTTCAATACAGAAGTAAACTCATGTTCAGCCAGTTACAATGCTTCTAATGTAAAGTGGACGCTCCACAACTTATTACAGGCGGAAGCGTCGCCACAGACCGCCAGTTCATGATACTGCAGATAGATAAGTATAGCTTTACTTTAATCAATGGGCCATAGGCTTACGGCCCGTCCACACACAGGCATGAAAAAAATCTTGATGCTGGGCGTGTCTGAAGCTTGGCGATTTCACGCGCCCAAGGCGACCAACAACCAATCAGGAATCTCTCAGGAATCTCCCGCCCGCCCCCGGCATACAAAGCAATTCAATGTATGAAGTAAACTGGATATAAACTCCCCAAACAGGTGAAAACCTACCAGTTTCACCAACTGTCTCTGCCACCTCCCTCCATGCCTGGTTCCTCCGGTTTAGGTCCCGGTAGGTGAACAGAGAGCAGTCGTAAAGGACCGGGACATTTCCTACAGCGATGATTAATTTATCCTCCATTTTATGACATATGGAAAAGACCTGCGGTGTCTGCATACACACGGTTTGATTGGCTAGCGCTTGTACTGGCGGGATTTGCATAAACGGGATTTGATTGGATGATGCCAGCTTCGAAAGCATCGGGAGCATGAAAAGTTGAACATTGCTCAACTTTTGAAGCCATGCTCCGCTCCCCACAATGCAGTTTGGCGAAGATTAAAAATCTTCTACGTCACCCCATTCAAGTGAATGGGCGAAGCTTTGAAAGATTTTTTTCATGCCTGTGTGTGGACGGGCCGTTATTCACCATCATGTCACACTATTTCGCAATAGACAGTAACTTAAACAAAAGATTGCCACTTTAAAAGCTCACCTATCATGCAATCTTTAGTCAACAGCATAGGACTCAGATATATATAAAAAAAATAAAAAACATGTCTATGAAGTGTTTTGCTCAAAATACAGAACAGATCACCCATTCTAGCCATGCCCCATATCCCTCTATTTCACTTCCTGTTACCAAAGTGCTGATTCGGGGTATAAAGCTTTACAAAAAAAAAAAAAGAGTATTGTATATATATATATATTGTATATTGTATATATATATGTATTGTGTATCTAAACCCACTTTGCATTTCTTTAGCAAATAATCTGTGTTTCGCCATCAGTTTGTAAGGAGTAACAAACGGTAACAATATTTAACAACCAGGCCACCTTTTAAGTCCAAAGGGGGGAAAAAAGGTAGGTTTTTGAGTTGGCAAAAACTTTTCAATCATATTATTAAGAAGCTGATTAATTACTGTTTAAAACGGTTTCCCCTACAGCTAGGTTTTTATGAGTTTAGGCTGATGAAGAAACATGGAATTAACGTAAACATGAAACAGATTTTGATATGAATGGTAAAATCTATAATGACATGGTAAATACTACATATTAAAAAAGCTTAATGGCTCTACAGCTCAGTATCAAAAATGTGTTTGTGAGAAAAGTAGTGTGTGAGTTGTGTTGTACCGTCTGAATCTCCTCGGGGGTGAGTGTAGAGATATTCAGGATTTGCTGCGCCTCTTGCAGGCTCATCCCGGTGATGCTGGAGGCTGCTGCAGCAGAGTGCTGACCTGCACTGCCCCTCGCCTGCGCTGCTGCCTGACTGGCTGTGAGACAACACAACACAACACTTGCATCAATTATATGTTCTTATCATATTTCTACACTTGTGTTATCCAAATTCTGAGCAGCTTGTAGTATCCTTAAGAGTTAAAGTTTGATCTGATGCAGTACATAACACTGGAGCACATTTCAGCACTTGATCATTCAGTTTGATGGAATGTGTGTTTTTGCAAACATTTAACAAATCATAAAGATCATTGATAGAGAAAATGAAAGGCATGCTTTGTATCAGCCACATCCCAGAGCATTTGCTTAAAAAACATCATACACATACATCATATTAATGACACTGTTGATAATATTATAAGTATCTAATTTTTATGGCAATTAGTCAATATCTATAAGATAAGATGTACTTTATTGATCCCAAATGTGGACATGTTTGCCTTGCAGCAGCATAAAAAACAAAACAAGGCATTGCATACAAGTAGAAATAAACCATTCTAGAATTTAAACATCTCAAAATAGAATTTAAAACAGCATTACAAAGTTGAAAATATACAGTAGACCGTAAAGATAAAACATCTTTAAACTCTGACAATAAAACACTATTGAAGGGCACATTTTCAGTTAACACAATATAAAGCAGGATGTTATTTACATTAAGTGAGTAGGGAATGGAATATTAAATTAGATATAAATGTAAAATATACAGTGTAAACTCATATGTAAATATGTCAGAGCAACTGCATCAAATACTTAATCTACTCATCAGTTGTATAGTCTTTAAATTATTTTCTTACTCCAATGTTTCCTTATTTATGTCAATCAGAGAAAATACATGACATTTCCTCTTTATACACACTTATCAAAACTGTGACTGTGCTGATGAATCATCCATTTGTCTCTGCAGTCATTTTCCATACAAGGTTAAAAACTATTAAGTACACTAGTATAAAATACATTTTGCCCATACCTGCAATTTCTTGCTGTAATGCACGAGCAAACGCACGTCCCACCACCTGTACTCCCATCACGATGATCTGTGCAAGATATCTAGCCTGCACAGGAAATGAATGGAAAGAAAAATCACAAACATCAATTTGCAGCCTTCCAATTTAAAGTTATGGGAACGAAAGGAGAGGGTGAACGTCAGTCAGTAACGCAGTAATGTTTTTGTAAGTCACATTACAGAGTTATGCTGATGTAATGTTGAGGTAAGAAGTGTCTGGAGGTGCGAATGTAGGAAACACCTTCATTACAGCTGTGACAGCGCCTCAGTTCTACTGTGCATGCATTCATAAAACATCTTCATACATTAGTTTCTCTCTAAATGAAATGATTATTGTCCCATGGAAGAGGAGGCAGAGCATCATTACCCAAGGCATTTGTATTGGAGAAGCTACGACAGACACAGCAGCTACACACCGCCGCATGATACCTAGCATTAGCTGACTGACTAATGTTAGCTATGGGAATGTAAACACGACCATTATTAACTGTATTCTTACCATTTTTGCAGTATTATACAGGTCCCCCTGACTGTGTGCGGCTTCTATCTTCACACATGTACGGCAATGAAGGTTATTGCAGGGTCAAAGTTCAATAAAACACCGAGTGCACAAGATAAACCCGGTGAAAAGCGACTTTTAAAATACTGACATATAGCGGCAGGGAGGTCAAACTGCAGCTACTTTTACTAACTAAGCAGCCCAGTTTGTTGACAAACGTCAACTTAGACAAAAGAAAAAAAAACATTTTATTTTATTTCAAGGTGTTGGCATATGGACATATTGTAAGTGATGTATGTGGGAATTTATATTATAAAGACCTATAAATGTAAATCATCCTCCTTATATTCCAGCACTTTTTGAATTCTGCCCTATTTTTTTCCTATTGTGTACAAATGCCATTGTGTTGTTGTTTTTATTTATACGTTGTATTTGTATATAGATAATAGTTCATGTTTACCTAATTTAGCTTAATAACGGATCAACATACAAACTGTAAATGAATACATTAAAACTTATTTCCTTGTTTGTCCACGGACAAGTTCATTTGATTAAAACACTATTTCATTAAATAATACAAAGTCGTGCACAATATAGTTGTAGCAGTTTTTATTCAAATATTTATTTTCTGCTTTTATTTATATTAGTGTGCCCTTACCAAAGTCTCCAAAATGATCATCATACCTACAGGCTTAAAACTCACTTAAGCCATTCTAATTCTAATTCTAATCCCTATGCTTGTTGTGGTGGCTTAATCACATAAGGACACACATTAGTGAGTTACATCTCTTTATTTTGAGACAATATTGAAAAAAATCCAGAAACAATCCCTCAAGTACTACAGACAGAACATCCACAATGCTTTACCCACTGTATAAAAAGGAAGTAATTTTTTTAACACAATGGAAGGCAAGTTAATCCAATACAAATATTACAAGTATGGCATTCGAGAATCACAAGCACATACAGCGTATATCACACAAACGGCAATACCACCTGTACAACATGATGTCCACGACCATGCATGGCAGAAACAATTGTTTTCTTCCAGTCCATCAGAGGTTGTTATAAAATGGTGTGTTCAAGTCTGGGTTTTTGACAATATTGCTGTAGCCCTGATTGGAAAATACATGATATTGGTTATGGCTGCATTGTAAGTTATTAATACTGTATATTTTATGTCTAATCACCACCATGACTCCTTAATAGTTACAATTAGATATGATAATTAGCTAATTTAAATCAGGAATGTCCCTGAACAGTCTGAAAATAAACAAAGATCATGATTTAAAGCAAAAAAAAAGAGAAAGAAAAGAATCATCTCTGAATATACAAAGGCCCTTTAAAATACTCCCAAGAGGAGGTTTGGTTTACATGCATAACAACTCCCAATGTATTTGACCTTCAACCCTTACATATAAGACTTTCATAAGACTACCAGATGGCAAAACATTCAAATCTAACTTGTACAAAAACATAAACACCTCATTGTTAAAATGGCCTTTTATTCTAATATTGTCAAACAGAAAGGAAAGTGATTTTAATATTATTGTCATAAGAAATTCCAGTTCATGGCCAAACATGAACACTGGTGACCCTGTTGTATCCTCGATGTGTTTTTGCTGCTGAAGGCTCGATCGTGTTACAGTGATCATGTGTGTTCACCTGATCGAACAGGAAGACAAGTAATGATTCACTTATTCATAGATATCATAAACAGCAATACATCTTTCAAGGACACATCGTGACTGATCATTCTCATATGACTGGCCAGTATAAAAGCAAGCAGTGGTTCACGGCGGAGGTAAATGTGCAGTTAGCAACTCCGTATGCAACGGTACAGAACCTGGTATCTGGATCAGAAAATAACTGACTGGCACACAAGGAGGCAATTATCTTTTATCTCGCGAATGACTGAGTGTATTTTCATGCTTAAACCATGGCAACCAATACTTACTACAACAAAAAGGTATGTTAGGTCCGGTACAACCACTGTGAGATAACAGCTAATGTAACATAAAGCAGAAGTATTATTGCTATGATTTTCATCCATTTAACTATCTTTGTGCTGACTTGGAACTAAAATAGGTTTGAAGTGTCCTGATTTGATTTAATGGACTATTTTCTCATAGTTAATATTGTATTATGCTCTTAGGTGGAATTTCCGCGGAAAGTAGTGTGACATAAACATTATCAAAAAACAATTACTTCCAGAACAAACAATTTATCCCAGAATTACTTATTTAAGAATTACAGCTGAAATTGATATTCATATCAAATGTCATGCATTTGGATTTGATGAACACCGAACTAGACAATGTGACATTTGATTTCCCAAACTTTAAGAGATACTGTTATACATACTACCATGAGACGGTGTTTTAATTACTGTGATTCCCCCCTCCCTATATAGTTTATACTTTCACATTGTACAGTACTCTTTGTGCGTGCAGTATGCTGAGGTGTCAGCTGTTTAAGCTCAGAGGAAGTGGGTGGCATCATCACAAACACACAAATGGCAACGTAAGTCGAAAGTCGATCTTTTCCCTCCTCTCCGCTGTTGGCCTCTCATTGAACCGAAGCAAGATGGCGTCTCTTCTAGTCATCCTAAACAACACAACAAACACAGTTAGAAAAGAGGGATTAAAAACATTACATTTGCATAACCTTAATACCTCATTGGGTCCTTAGTGTCTGATGTTAAGCTCTTTAATAACTCAGGTACGAGAGCTGGGTTTTCGCTGTCAACCTCTAACCGTCTTCAGTGGAACCACATTTTGATGATATGGTGACATTTTAGTTTCAATGTGATTTAACCAACAGTTGTCTCCATACATGTATATCATCATATGTACTGATATTGTGTTTTATATAACTAAAACACAGGGACAAAGTGAAATTAACTCATTCCAAAACGTTGGCGCTCTATCCCAGAAAAAGCCTCACACGTTTATTTTTTCTTAAACAATGTTCTCAAAAAACCCAACCCATAAACTAAAAGTATAAAAACGTTGATAATGATCGTGATAGTTTGATATTAATATATGATGTCCTATTAAAAATGTCCATATTTATCAATCATAGCGTTTTTTTAGTTGCTAAAGACAGCCAACTTCAAGAAGTCTTTGCAAATGTGAAGTTATGATCTGGTGCTAAAAAAAAAAGGTAGACAACACTAACATAAATTCCCTCCTAAATGCAACCTTAAACATTTTCATTAAACACTCACTGTATCCCCAAATATGACGACGAGTTGAATCAACAAATACTTGAGCAAAACTGAGTTCCATTGAAATCCAATTAGTAGCTTTTCTGCAGAGGGGCTTATTTTGGTATAATGGCAGCAGAGGTGTTTAAGTGCAGTTTAATTAGTGTCTGTCATTAGAGAGGAGCCTTCTTTCCATCTCATCCACTCACCCACTCGTCGTCTTCGACCCCCTGGAAGGACTCCTGTGGCAGCGGGTCGTCTCTGTTCCCTAACTTAGCCACCATGGCACTGAGCAGCTGGGCCACACAAACACAATGTTAAAGCACGTCAGAAAAAAACTAACATGTATTCATACAATTCATATAATCATGTATGCTAAGCAGGCTGATAATCTTCACCCTCCTTGTTTCTGTAAAACTAAAACCAACCAGTACTCCTTCAGACATCGTGGTGTACAGATATGGAAAGTCAAAGTAAACGTTTTAAAAGCTTTCACTTTTCCTGTATTGTTTTTGCATTTATTTTTATTTTTTATTTAGATTTTTGTCTTTTTCTTAAAACCCTCCGGTATCACTGTGGACGTTTTTGTCCATATGGGTCACTTTTCACTTTTCATTTTGCAATAACTTTGGTTGTGTTGGTGCAAATGGCCTGATTTTTTGTAACAAGGCTATTTTCTCGATCTATTTTGGAATTCCAATTTACATTTTTCAAATCGGTCTTTAATTCACTGTGTAACAAATCGACTACGCAAATGAGTCATTCGAGACAAAAATGTCCACTGCAAAACACTTGGATAAAAACATTATATTAAAAGGTTTTTTTCACAACTTTTTTGGGTTCAAATCTTTTAAAGCAACTTAGCCGCACCGTTATATAAGCCGCAGCGTCGAAAAATAGGGAAAAAGTCGCGGCTTATGGTCCGAAAATTACGGTAGTAGCTTTTCTGCAGAGGGGCTTATTTTGGTATAATGGCAGCAGAGGTGTTTAAGTGCAGTTTAATTAGTGTCT